TTAGACAGGGGGGGGGGGCAGGTAAGGTAGGCCACGGAGATAAATTGAAATTTTACATTTCCAATTTTTTTTCTTGCTTGGGCTCATTATTTTCGATTCTTGTCCAAAATATAGCAATTTTTCATCAAAAACGTTAAAAATATGGTAGTTCTCAGCGATTTGAAGCATTAAGAACAGTGACAAGTTGTAGACTTAGACAGGGGGGCAGATAAGGTAGGCCGCGCAGATAAATTGAAACTTCACATTTCCAATTTTTCTGCGTGGGCTCATTATTTTCGATTCTTGTCCAAAATATAGCAATTTTTCATCAAAAACGTTGATAATATGATAGTTCTCATCGATTTGAAGTATTAAGAACAGTGACAAGTTGTAGACTTAGACAGGGGGGCAGATAAGGTAGGCCACGCAGATTAATTGAAACTTCACATTTCCAATTTTTCTGCGTGGGCTCATTATTTTCGATTCTTGTCCAAAATATAGCAACTTTTTATTAAAAACGTTGATAATACGATAGTTCTCATCGATTTGAAGCTTTAAGAACAGTGACAAGTTGTAGACTTAGACAGGGGGCAGATAAGGTAGGCCACGCAGATAAATTGAAACTTCACATTTCCAATTTTTCTGCGTGGGCTCATTATTTTCGATTCTTGTCCAAAATGTAGCAACTTTTTACCAAAAACGTTGATAATATGATAGTTCTCATCGATTTGAAGCAATAGGAACAGTGACAACTTGCAGACTTAGACAGGGGGGCAGGTAAGGTAGGCCACGCAGATAAATTGAAACTTCACATTTCCAATTTTTCTGCGTGGGCTCAATATTTTCGATTCTTGTCCAAAATGTAGCAATTTTTTACCAAAAACGTTGATAATATGATAGTTCTCATCGATTTGAAGCAATAGGAACAGTGACAACTTGCAGACTTAGACAGGGGGCAGATAAGGTAGGCCACGCAGATAAATTGAAACTTCACATTTCCAATTTTTCTGCGTGGGCTCATTATTTTCGATTCTTGTCCAAAATGTAGCAACTTTTTATCAGAAAACGTTTATAATATGATCGTTCTCATCGATTTGAAGCATTAAGAACATTGACAAGTTGTAGACTTAGACAGGGGGGCAGATAAGGTAGGCCATGCAGATAAATTGAAACTTCACATTTCCAATTTTTCTGCGTGGGCTAAATATTTTCGATTCTTGTCCAAAATGAAGTGGTTTCTCTCACCAAAAACGCTCACAAATTGTATGTCTCAACGTAAGGGGAACACAAAAAGATTGCAGATTACCTGAAACATTTCATGTTACTTTTATTCTTGCGCATGCGTGGGCATAATCCCATATTTTCCTCCTTAAAGTTTTGTTCATCTCAAAAGTCGATGTGAGAATGATGTGATGTTGTCATCATGTGATGCAGCGTTTGGCATAATGCATCTTGCCCTGATGCAGTAGCCCACGCAGATTCTGGTAACCGCGCAAAAAAAAGTATTACACCGGTGTAAAATGCGTTTTGGTACCCTATGCAAAAGTGTAGCATTGTGAAACGCAATGTGTTTCAGATCATGTGACTTCATCATTGTGCGATGTTTTGACACGTTTTTAAGAGTTTAATATTTACACTTGTCAATCACGCAAAGCTTGGAGTCGCCATTGATGTTGTACTTTTTTTGCATAAACTTAACAACGGAAATCAAAGCACCGCTTCTTATTTGCATCCCTTTTATAAAAATAGTTCAATTGTTCTTTACATTCTGAACAATATGAACCAGAATATTCAACCGGTTCGCATGCTAAATTCCACTATTCGTTTGGGTACCCTATTGCATAAATGCTTGGGTACGTTTTGCATAACCAAAATTGTCACGCGTTTGTGTACCCGGACCGTTTTGTATGCTAAATTCCACTATTCGTTTTGGTACCCTATTGTTTGAATGCTTGGGTACGTTTTTGCATAACAAAAATTGTCATGCGTTTGTGTACCCGGACCGTTTTGTATGCTAAATTCCACTATTCGTTTTGGTACCCTATTGTTTGAATGCTTGGGTACGTTTTGCATAACCAAAATTGTCATGCGTTTGTGTACCCGGACCGTTTTGTATGCTAAATTCCACTATTCGTTTTGGTACCCTATTGTTTGAATGCTTGGGTACGTTTTGCATAACCAAAATTGTCATGCGTTTGTGTACCCGGACCGTTTTGTATGCTAAATTCCACTATTCGTTTTGGTACCCTATTGTTTGAATGCTTGGGTACGTTTTTGCATAACCAAAATTGTCATGCGTTTGTGTACCCGGACCGTTTTGTATGCTAAATTCCACTATTCGTTTTGGTACCCTATTGTTTCAATGCTTGGGTACGTTTTTGCATAACCAAAATTGTCATGCGTTTGTGTACCCGGACCGTTTTGTATGCTAAATTCCACTATTCGTTTTGGTACCCTATTGTTTGAATGGTTGGGTACGTTTTTGCATAACCAAAATTGTCATGCGTTTGTGTACCCGGACCGTTTTGTATGCTAAATTCCACTATTCGTTTTGGTACCCTATTGTTTGAATGGTTGGGTACGTTTTTGCATAACCAAAATTGTCATGCGTTTGTGTACCCGGACCGTTTTGTATGCTAAATTCCACTATTCGTTTTGGTACCCTATTGTTTGAATGCTTGGGTACGTTTTTGCATAACCAAAATTGTCATGCGTTTGTGTACCCGGACCGTTTTGTATGCTAAATTCCACTATTCGTTTTGGTACCCTATTGTTTGAATGCTTGGGTACGTTTTTGCATAACCAAAATTGTCATGCGTTTGTGTACCCGGACCGTTTTGTATGCTAAATTCCACTATTCGTTTTGGTACCCTATTGTTTGAATGCTTGGGTACGTTTTTGCATAACCAAAATTGTCATGCGTTTGTGTACCCGGACCGTTTTGCATGCTAAATTCCACTATTCGTTTTGGTACCCTATTGTTTGAATGCTTGGGTACGTTTTTGCATAACCAAAATTGTCATGCGTTTGTGTACCCGGACCGTTTTGCAAGGTTACCGAAACGCTTATGACACCGGCAACCAGCGCTGCTGCTTGGGCAGACTGTCGTCCCATGGCTCAATATTATGAACAAGGAACAGAGTGGAAGTACAAACTGATATGGAATTTATATTAAAAACATTGCTATTGGCACACTTTAAATGAGATCAGGTATGGTAAAACTAAAATTTCATTTCAGATTGAGGTGTCTTTTTGTCCAGACTGTTCTGCATGGCCTAATTGTATTCAAACTATGATTGTTTTCAATGTATCAAATACGTTAAGTGTATCGTGATATTAAATACTAAAGGCGGGTTGAAAGTCATACATGTGCGAATTAAATGCCATTCTTACTGGGCGTGAAAAATTTCGGGAAACGAAGGTTGTTATAAATATCTGGATTCACTAGTCAAAGAATTTTATTTCTTAGTCGAAGAAAATGCTGTTTAGCTGTCATAGGAATTTTAATTGGCGCATTATCTTCGTTTGCTAACAATTTTGACTTGGGTGGGGGATGGTTTTTTTGCAAGACTAGGTTATTCCCTAGTATCTCAACCTCTGTTAAAATACAATAATCAAGTTCAGTGAAATTATTTTTTAGTCCCACTTGCAGCTTCCATCAACCAACGTATTTTCTTGAATTCATATTTATGCACCCAAAGCAGGTTGTAGGATCGCTTTTACCGCCGTCTCGATTAGATTTCGTTAGTCTTTTGGCTATTGCTTCAACCCCCCTCCCCCGCTGTTGCGATTTTATTTGTAGTTACCAAAATAAAAACTTTGAAGAACGGTATCAGTTTTCAAACAAAAAGTCGACCCCTTTTTTCATAAGCTTAAAGGTTCTTTCAATGTTTTAAAGCATGCTGGTTCGAAGATATCATGGCATAAAAATAAATTTTATGTGGATATTAGCTTCCTAGCAGACATGTAGCTAGGATTTTATAGCTTCTTTAAAGGAGAACTGACACGCAAAAATAACTTTGGCTTATTCGATGCAAAATTTGTCGCTGACTTCAAATCTGGAAAAAGTTTTCTTCTTAGATTCGCCGTTTTTCTGATATTTGCACTTTTATCCGTCAATTACGTCACAGCCAGGACTCGGGAATTTCCCGAAGCGGAAACAAGATTATCGCCAGGAGTTGTTAAAATTCTCGGTTGACGTCACAAGTGACATGTTAAAGGGCCACTCCAGCCCAAAATTTTTATTTCAGAACACGATGTAATCAGACCTCCTGAAAACGAATCTGTTATTATTTTTTTCATATCTCTAACCGTTTTGTAGTTATTAGCGTTTGTAAAATGGTCATTGAGTTGAATTGTTTTTCAACCGTGTTATCGGAGATCTTCGGATTGACGTCACAGGCATTTTCGGTCTCGGTAAGTTCGCGGCAAGTATCATCGGCTGTCCAAAGGGTCAACGAGAACCTAGCGAAATGGCAGACAGGGCCTAGCAGCGGCATGTTTGTTAGAAGGCCAGACTTTTATCTGGAATCGATATAAAGAGAGAAGTATCGCTCATCAGTCTTGATATTCTGATCGAATATGGAAGTTTTTTGTCGCACGAATCTTTCTGACAGAGAAGTCGAATTGGCAAAGTAGGCTAGCGAGACATAGACATGAGGATGTTGACAGACTTTCATGGAATGTTGCTTTTGAAGCAATTTGTATTGGCAGGCCAGTTCCCTGATTTTAAAAAGAAGATTCGCGCTTTTTCATCAGCCCCTCCTTTAGTGCAACAGCTAAAAAACCATCGCGCAATTAATTCGGGAGGAAAGAAGAAAACAAAACCAGTATATCGGGAATGAAAGCTGTATGAATTGATACAACATATTCATTAGGATAAAGAGCTTCATATCAACATGACTTATTGGAAATAAAACAGGACAAATGAGGACATGGACAAGAAAGTATACAACTTTCAAGACAAGACTAAAAACCTACCATTAGTCATGAGTCAAACAACTTTTTCAAAAATTATAAATTTGTTTTTATACAAACCAAAAAGGGATTTGAGATTATATTAATAATTCAACTTTTTCAATATACTTTTGTAAATATAATTTTTGTATTTAACCTTTAAGCTATTACAGGGGCCTTGTCGGCTCCTTTAAGCTGTCAGAATCTCAACCTGCTATATTTATGAATAATAAATACATGTTTGATGTATTTAAATACTTGGCTACATTGAATTATACAATCAGGCCAGTGAACTAGCTAGCAATTTGTAATTTCTATTGCACATGAGAAATGTTCTTATAAAAGTATCATGAAACAATAATCTATTGCAAAACTTCTAGAAAATACCTATATGTTGTTACTAGCTTTAAATAATTTGCAAACATTATATATGACCAAATTATATATAAAATTTTAATAATTTTAGAAAAATAGTCTCCTTTGTAAAAATGTTAATACAAAAACAGAATAATGTGTTGAGGTCTTTGTAGTAACTCTTGAATGGAAGAGAGGGGCAAGTTATCACTCCCACAAAGCCAGTAGCCAGATAACAGGAGATGCATGTAATCTCCAACCTTCATCTAGCATTTTTTTGCAAGATCCTTTCTGCTGATCCATAGAAGAGTTTGTAACCTTTTTTATGCCTAGAATAATAAGGTTGACAGAGATAAATACTAACATACCAGTGAAATTTACTTTTGAGTCATATTAAAACATAAAATGATCAAAGAAACTTGGACACTCAGGGGCATTCATATACAGGAGTATAGATATTTAGAAGGATCAAAGAGAAATTTAGGGGTGAAAGGGCAACCACTGTTACTATAGCAAATAGCATCTAATGATATTAACTTGAAGTAACACAAAGATGAATTTAAATGATATAGGCCATGCTTATATGAATCAATGCTAGAATAGCAAAGGTAAATTTAACAAATATAAACAATTCTGCCTTTAAAACATTAGAATGAGGATATTACACATCTTTTTTCCAAAACCAAGGGTGTAAATTCCATGTTTTTTCTTTTGGGTAGTAGATCTTTTGCCCTGGATATTGATCTGGCAAAATTTTGAAATTGTGCATCAATTTTATGATGAAATAGGCAGAACTCCAAAATTGAAGGCAGAACAAGGTAGAACATGAAGAAGAAGGGTTCAGGAGACAAACCCTGGGAAATTTTACACATCTATACCTCAGGCAAAGGTGTAGTGCACAGATCATTGGCAGGGATGTAGTGCTAGGAGGCTCAGGCCCCCTTGTTGGTACAAAAAAGTAGCAAACTTCTACTTTTGGTAATATTTTATGTGACATTTTGCTTGAGAGCCCCTGTTGTACTTTTCATATTACCACATTTCTGACCATTTGGGGGACAGTTCACAAGACTGGCTGTTAGAAAACCTGTATTTAGAGCCCCTCTAAACCTCTACACCCTGCAGTTTCGCCTAACATTCAACATAGTAAAATGATAATAAGGATGAATTGTGACTTACGGGAAAGTTTCCATCTTGTGAATGGGGTTCTTCTAATGCGGTGAGACATCAATTATTATTCAGCTCCCTGGAAATCCCTGAGATGACACGACGATAAGAAATGCCTTCGGTCAGAAATCCATTCACATCTGAAAATTCGTGAAGCATTCCATATTGAAAAGCTTGCTGCGTTGCCAAGATGAGGATATGAGTTCAGGTTGAAGCTTCCATCTTTGATTTGTCGAATTACTAGTCCATGTTGGCTGGAAGCCTCCGCTGAACATCATTCGCAATGAAGGAAAATAAATAAAACGACAACCGCCTCTTCCGAGCCTCTACCGAGTCGTGCGAATTTCAGTGCGAACGTATAACAATAGCGCCGAATGTTGAAACAATAGCCCTTTCACACGTCACACGTCACAAAGTGCTTTTTCCGAAAAAAATTTTGTCGTATTTTTACGGTGATTCTCAACTTTGAGCGTCTATATCTGGAAAACGAGTTAAGCTTTTCGAAAAAAAAATTCACGATAGCTTCTTTTTCTCGACTAATTACCAATTTATGCAAAAAAAGTTTTGGGCTGGAGTGGCCCTTTAACGATGCCGTTGTAAAGGCTTTCACCGCAACGGTGAAAGTACAAATGAAGTTTCGTGTTTTATTGAAAATAGTCCGCGGTGAAAAGACAAAAAATTGTCAGGCATTTCATTTATAAGTATAAACAAGCTAGAAAATCCTAGCTACATGTCTGCTAGGACGCTAATATCCACATAAAATTTATTTTTATACCATTATATCTTCGAACCACATGCTTGGAAACATTGAAAGAACCTCTTAGCTTGTGAAAAAAGGAGTCGACTTTGTTTGAAAACTGATACCGTTTTTTCAAAGTTTTTATTTTTATAATTATAAAAAAAATCGAAGCATGGGGGTGGGGTGGGGGGGGGGTGGTTGAAGCAATATCCAAAAGACAAACGAAATCTAATGGAGACAGCGGTAAAAGCGATCCTGCAACCTGCTTTGGGTGCAGAAATATGAATTCAAGAAAAATCTTGGTTGATGGGAGCTGCGAGTGTGACCAAATAATAATTTCACTGAACTTGATTATTGTATTTTAACAGAGGTTAAGATACTAGGGATAACCTAGTCGTGGAAAAGACCATCCCCCACCCAAGTCAAAATTGTTTGCAAAAGAAGATAATGCGCTAGTTGATATTCCTATGACAGCTAAACAGCATTTTCTTTGACTAAGAAATCAAGTTCTTTGACTAAGAGCTAAGAGCCTATTTCGTAACACCAGATTTTTCGACTGCCAGGTAACTTATCAGTTCCCGAAACCCTTCACGCCCGGTGAAAATGGCATGTTCGAATTAGTACATTAGATCAGTGTTCAGACCAAATAAAGAAATTGTGAAGTTTTCGCAAAGAAGTTACCCTGGCTTTAATAAAAATGGCCTCTCGCTCTAAAAAAGGTATGACGTCTCGATCTATTGTTCTTGTTGCTAATGTTCATGGGAAAGACAAATTATTGCCCGCAACTCGCGCGCGATAGCGCGCTAGTGAAGGGCTTATAGTCTGCCCCGCGTATAAGTAGCATATGGAAACTTCAGTTCATGTTGTCAGCACTTTGTCAGCAGATTTTGTCACTTTTCTGCTGCCATGACAACTGTCAATCAATTTCATTGTCAATCAATCGGCTTTGTCGAGGAGGTCGTTAACCGCCACCTCTTTGTGCGGAAGGGAATTATCTTCGGAGAGTTGCTCTGCCAAGACTCTGTTAAAGCATAGTCAATAGAGACAACTCTGGTCTGGAAGCCCATTGTTCTGTTCTTTTGTTCTCATCTAGAACTTGAAAACACTTTTATTCTAATCACGTGACCTAAGTAAGGGGACAAGATAGAACATTTTCTTCTCTCGCAATAGCAGATGCAGATAGTTTTGTGAGGCCCAGCGCACACAGGCGACCCATGAGTGTCAAAAACAATGACATTTGGGCTTTTGACAAAGTTTCTGCGTTTCAAAGTCTGTCTTCGCGATTAAAAAAACTAACTTTCAAAAAACATTTTTCACACCCTAAAACAGATGATAGCTGATTAAATGTGGATGCAAAAAAGTCGAATCTGATTGCTCTATTGTTTTTTCATCTTTCAACTTTTCAACCAATGTTTCTACGTTGAATACTTTTGTTCTGTCCAAACAGAGACCGAGATACAACATTTTGTTTACTTTTTTGGGATAGGGGGAAGGGGTTGTGAAGCCCTGATTAATAAGTGTAGCAACAGCCAAATTTTAGAAAATAAAAGTATTTTACTTATGCTATTAAGTTTTTGGGGGGCAAGGCTCCTGGCCCCCCGCTATCTCGGTCCTTGGTCCAAAATGATGATGGCGAGGGCGCCCTGTTGTTTGTCCTTTGTGTATTCCTCTGAAAATTCTTTCATAAGTTTTTTGATCACACCCTATTTTGGCTCTTCGAACTTCAACCATATCTGTATCAGCAACGTACTCGACTTCATCAATGTTCCACGAAGGCTCGTATGTTTGTTTCAAAACTCTTATCAGGTCTAGACAGGACATTTAAGATTGCAATAATTGAGGTCCTCATTTCGCTTGAACATACTACAAAATGTGACTTTTGGAGAAACAGAGCATTGAAAATTTCTTAAATTTCTAAATTGGTAATGGTTTTCGCCAGGCGCGTAGCGGATGTTCGACGTTCAGGGGGGCTGAGCATGGATCTTCCCTGAAAATCGTTTCTTCATTGAGATAGAACTGTCCGAGTGGAGTCGGAAATGTGACAGTTTTGTCTGAGATAGGGGGGCTGCAAATAACCCATCCAATTTTTCCCCACGCCGATGTTCTCGCAACTAAAAACATCTCCAGATTCAATGTGACGCTTAAAATAATTGTTTACAGTCGTGTTATTCTTTCTATACCGTTTATCCAAGCCAAAAAAATATTGTCAATTGCGTCGCGAAGTTCTAAGAAATCTTACTTCCGAGTAAGAGTGGTGACAGAAATGCCCCATCCCTGAACTGCACAATATGAGCTGACCATAGTTTTAATAATATCAGCACAGAATAGATTGTAACATTACCAATACTCTCGTGAAACATTCAAAACTCAACAACAATCCTACACACTTGTTTTCACGCGTCCCCTTACTTAGGTCACGTGATTTCAATAAACACGAACAAAGAGTTAGAACAAAAGACTTCGGTTTTTTTGGCACGAAAACGGTGCTGCATCACAGCTCGGTTCTCCGCAATGGATGGAAGTTTTGATTTGAAGTTTTGGGAATCAAAACCAGTCGAATGCCACACCTTTCTCCCAAAAACTCGACACCGTACGAGCAAAAGTTATGATTGTCGTGATTATAGCCTGTACATCGCTGTACGAATCCTTTATCGCAATCGATTTTAGCTGTACCCGTTCTATCACGTGTCCATTTTCATACGTCTTTGCTTCACGAAAACGCAAAATAATTGTCAAACCCTAGAAAAACTTCATGATTTTCAAAAGGGCGTTGGACTTAAATCAAAGGCAAACTGAACACCAAAAATTCTTGATAAAAAGAATAGTTTAGCATCAACTAGAGCAGCTGTTTTTATAAAATTGTGAAAACCCAAGATGGTGTCTTCTTCGAATATCCTGACCTAAATTTTCAAAACAATCATTATCAAGGAATTAATTGTTTGCGGGCAGTACTAGCAAGAGCTATTTCTAGTTTTAAATTCATCGATGATCGGGAATACTTGCCAATGGTTCCCGATGGCCCGGTTTTCATATTTCATAAGCCATCGCAGACTTTCATAGACTGTCATCGAGAAACTGCATCGGGGATCATCGCCGACGATCTACGACTAAGTGCGTTCAAGTGCGTTCATCTCTAGACCTTTAATATATAAGATTATTGTTAGATTATAAGATTAATATTAAAGATTATTGATATATAAGCCAAGCTACAATGAGAAACGAAAAAGTAACACGTGTTTCTGCCCTTCGTTGAGTCTGTATTACATTTATGATACTACAGTATTTTAGATACAAATTAATAATCCCCCGTTGAATCTTTGATAACCTTAAGATACTATATAATTTTCGATATTTAATAAGTAACTTAGATACATTTTGCAGTCCCTCCTTGAATTTGTTTTACCTTGCCACGTTATTTTCAATACAAGTTTACAATATCTCGTTGAATTTGTATTACCTATAAGGTTTTAATGAAATATAGATACAATTTTGCAATCCCTTGTTTAATTTTTGTTCCTCAAAAGGCATTATTGCGCATCAAATACCGCATTGAACCTGTATTTCCAAAAAAGTTTCTGTTTTGCTTGAAATAAGTCAGAGTCGATGATTGCTACTTTCATTGCTCTTGTCTTAGATTGTCAATGTATCGTTTTAGTATCCGTTGAACGTTGCTGCTTCTGCTAAGATAGATAATAGGGTTTGCAACACTGTTGAAGAAAATCGCTGTCGCCGACCACGTATGCAGTTCTAGGTATCGCAAAGGCCCATGTCGATAACTCAAGATAGTGTAAATAAGTCTTGGTATGCAGCAAATGACAAAGACAACAATTATTATGATCAGTGTAACAACTGACTTGCGTACCCATCGCCTTCTGAAATCTGCCGAAGGTTGGACGGAGCTTCCTGCGATGACTCTTCTGCTCTTCAGCAGAAAAAGACCAACTTTTGTGTGCGTGAACACAATACAAGAAACGGATGAGGTAGCAAAGAACAAACCAAGTGCAGAAGCTATTTTCTCATATGATCTATCTACATGAAATGGGATCATAAATCCAATGGCAAAGAGCCACATCAAGGCAAAAAAAATGATGTATTTTCTGGTCAGTTTCCAGCCGCTCGTTTTTCTACTGTATATAGCATGCAAGTATCTATCAACGCTTAGAAGTGCCAACAGAAACAATGTTACAGTAGTTGGTACAACGGCTGACTGCAAAAAAATACTACTTAGAAGACAGGGAGGTGGAGTTTCCATAATGAAAAACGACTGTCTGGCTATGGATAAAGGTACGGTGACAATGCCGATGAGAAAGTCAGTGATGGCCATAAATAATATGAGTATTCCCGAAGGTGTGCGTAGATGGCTGTTTGTAGCCATGACATAGCAAATAAGGAGATTCAGGATAACTGCAGCGATGGATATAAAAACTGACACGATAATTACCAGGTATGCTGAAATGACACTCTCTTTGTGCTCCAATTGCTCATTTCCTTTGCAGAGAACAGGCAAATGCGCGTCAGGGCTGTTTCCCACTGTCCAGTTCATGGTATCAGCTTGAACACGGAACAGAAATGGCTTGAACCGTTGTGCAGTTGAGTTGTTTCCCAAATGACACTATTACTACATTAACTTGACTTTCTTCAATCTCACACCAGTGAATTATTAATTTCACTGCCCAGTAGAGATAAGAGAGCAAGTTTTTACAGGTGCAAGTTTCGAAAAATAAGTGCGGAACAGGTGAAGTAAGTTTCTGAGTTTTTAAGTACAGGGTGGAGGCGCACGCTCTAGGGCCCCGGATGTTGGTGTACAGCTGGTGGTTTACACTACTTTGAGATCCCCCCTCACACTAAATTCCAGAAATTTTTGACCAATTGATTCCAGGCATTCGGACATAGACGACGACTTCGGAAAAAATTTGGTCGATTTGAATCAGAAATACATGTCCAAATTTCATACAAGGAGAACTCTAGGGGTCAATAGATTCCTTAGAAGTAAAAGCAATAGAAAATGAGATAAGCACAATTCATTTGATAAACGTATTCTGTTTATATTGTATTGCTTTTACAAAGGGTGTAGCGAATGCATCAGGGATATCTTAAAGAATACATCATTATAAGATCTTGACAGAAAAAAGGTTACAGCAATAAGTTTTGCTTGAATAACATTCTAAGGGGTTCAAAATGAATTTGAAAAGAGCAAACATTTTGAGTTATACGCAAGTTTTTCGTCTGCCACACTTCCTATAAATCAGAACATAGATCAAAACGTCAGAACATAGATCAAAACACTAAGCTAGGATCTATACATACCCAATTGTGGATAGAAATAGGCCAATCATAAACGCGAGCACATGACCGTTGAGGTTGCCCGACCATTCTAAGAGCATGGGACGTCTTTTTGGTGCACTCCTCGGGTTTCCTCCGACTTCATCCAGTTTACAGAAGTTTAGAGAAGAAAACAAGAAAATTTCCGTGGCTGGTTTCTGAATTTTCTTTTTGACTAATTGTCGGCATCTTTACAGCGTACCGGCACGATATCATGTCGCTTGATAGCCTACGCCGTAGACCCTCCTTCCAAACAAAGATAAGGAAAGCTTGCTACAGGCCGTTATAAATTTATGCGTAAATATTTTTTATAATTGATCATTCCCAGACCCCATTAGGGCTTTCTTTGTCAAGCTCAATGAGGTGTTAAATGAACCATATTCTTCTATTTTCACTACCTGATTATATGGCCTGGTACTCAGGGTACTTCAGTAAGCGCTCCCTCGCATCACATCTGAAAACGATCGTTCACTTCTCTACGCATTGTAAAAAATTACATGAAGATGAAGAGAAGAATGACTCTCGATTGATGATCGGAATCAGGACCGCCAAAAGGGGGAAGCCTCATAAAGTAATGAATTTAATTTTAAGAATGGAATTAATTAAACGTAGCATAAGTGCGCCTTAAAATGATTTGCAATCTATTTATGCAAATCTAAAGGGCGTGGTCGCAAAAATTTTCTGCTCGCTTCGCACGCAAGGGCTTCTTCCTTTACTCTTGCTCTAGGGCCTCGAATCTTCTCGGTGGCCTCTCCTTGTAATAAATTTAAAACGAGCAGAGATCCTTTATCTGGAAAACGTTCAAAACCGGTTCAGGAATATACCCCTAAAGCAGAATTATTTGATAATGAATTCTGTTGCTAAAGGATTCCTTTTTCTATTAGAGGGAGACAGCATTATTGTCAATGAAACACTCCATCTGGAGAACATTTTGCGTTTTTTGAAAAATGTATGATATACAATAATGCAAAGCTGAGACTGAGTTATGTGCTTAAAATATTCTCAAAAATGATTCTGAGACTGAATATTGATTTTTGTTTCTATGCGGGGCACGTCGCCCAAATGCTTACTATGTATCTCATTTTCTTTTTTACTGTCGGCAGTTTGATGAATTTTTTGTCGGCAGTTTCGTTGACTATAAACGTCGGCACCTTGAATGTTTGTCTCTAGCGCCACCCCTGAATTTGTTCTTAAATTAAGAGGGTTTGAGCAGTGCTATCGCTAGCTATTTCACTCTAAGGAGGTGTTCAGGCCTCATTTGCCAACAAAGTGAGTGAGACAGCTTTAATTTGCTGACAAATTTGAATATTCACCGAAAAAGTACCCACACATCGCTGAAAAGCCTCCATTTTGAGAAAAATGTTGTTCAAAATTGCATTTTGCAGAAGCTCAGCCTCAGCTTGTTATTAATTTGTTCTTAACTTTTGACCAGTTTTGAGGCTCGTGTTCTTATAAAATTGTTCTTATAAAAAAAAGAGTGTAGCTCGTTGATGGAGCGATGGGCTAGGCCAAAGGGCCTAGGCCTCGAACAAGTAACGCACAAAAGATACTCCTTCTTTGATCTTAATTCTAATGATTCAACAGAAAGACTATATTATATTGTGATCAACACATATTAATGACATAAACAGAAGCTAATTAACAGGACAATACGAGCGTCACACTACTAGCCCAAGTTCCGTATTGGCTCTCCTTCGCAACGGATAGTAAAGTCTGCACGCAGGCTACACACTACATGTTGAAAGACAAACACATTGCCATAAAAAGGCGTTCACACAACACAACAGGACTTAACCCTGGGACTTAACAGAACATGTGACTTTAACACGCAACGGGAACTTTACTAAATTGAATAAATATAAAATCCAAACCGTTACATTGGGGGGAGGGGGGAGCCTAAGTGGAAAAACAACTATATTTTACAAAATAAAAATATTTTACTTATAATACTTAAGTCTTCATTTTGGAGGAGGAGGGGGACCGAGGCCCTCCCGGCATCTCGGTCCTTGAATATACTCTTTATACACTGAATATTACACCCTTCTATTGTTAAGAATTATCGATCCCCCCCCCCTTTAAAGACCTTATCTAACGAAAATCAATTTGGGCTTTTGGTGTACCAACCTACCAGCTCTTGTCTTGCCTTGTAGGTGTTTTTCGATACACTTGTCCATCACACACAAGGGGGGAAAGTGGCTGCGATCTACCAAAAAAGAAATTTATATAACAAACGTGATTGACGGTTGTTTCGCTTGATATTAGGTTGTTCCGCTTGTTACCTGGTTGTTCCGCTTGTTACTTGGTTGTTCCATTTGTTACTGGGTTTTCACTGGGTTGTTTTGCTTGATACTGGGTTGTTCCGCTTGTTACTTGGTTGTTACTGGGTTGTTTACGGTGGCCCACAACCAGGACCGTCGAGAGGGGGGGGGGGTAACCAGGGTAGTTACCAGGGGGCCCGTAGAAAATAAGGTATGTATTTTTGGCTATGAGTTTTCAATTAGCTGCATTGGCAGGGCGGGCCCATGACCCGATTGATATTCGAAATTTAATCTTTCAACACGGAATCAACAAGCTGGTCTATGATGAGGGCCTTTTCTTGTTAAGGTTTATAATTAGAACATTGACGATACGATCATAATATACTTCTCCGGAAGCCGAAAAATTCGATTGCACTTACATATATCTACTTTTAGGTCAAATGTTATAGTTATTCCTTGTGTGGACTTCCTATAAACGTAAACCTAAATCTTCCATTCACGGCGTACACCAGAGAAAAAGCACATGCGAAGAACCAAGACAAATCCAAACGCTACGATCCGAACGATCCAACCACCCCCTGCGATGTCATCTTACAGGCACAAGTCTGGTGCTCAGAAAAGGCAGGAAAAAAGATGTGAGAAAAAGAAGCAAAGAAAGCCTCTCGCACATTGTTTGAGGTTGGTGCTTACAAAAGAGACAAGGAAGGTGATTCAACTTTCAATAAACCTGGTGAAAGCTCTGTTCAAAGCACTGCTGAAGAAGAAAAAGACACAAACGGCTTGGCTGCTTCGGTAGACCATGGCACCACAGATAGTAGAGAAAGCACTACTGATTCATCATTGAATCAAGATACTGTTCATAGTGGATCATCTAGTTTTGATGTCGGCACATTGACCGGATTTCCAACGATAAAGGAGTTAGAAAAAGGTTGTTAGAACTGGTCATTTGCCTCATCCTCCAGAGTTTCCCAAAGATTGCGACGGCCACAAATTTCCAACAACGGTCCTAAATGTGAAGCAGCAAAATGGGGAAGTAGTAAGACGAAGCTGGCTTGTTTTCAGTCCTACAAAGGCTGCACTCTATTGTTTGCCATGCAGGTTGTTTTAAACTGATTTGTTTTAATGATTTGTTTTATATAGTCACTAATTGCATGTTCTGTTTAAAGACCTTAAAATACAAATTCAAGTGTTTCAGGGGCCTTGATTTCAAAAGTCATGCCTTTTACAGTCTATCTAACTGCATTGCTAAGGGCGTAACCCAAAAAAGGTTTTTGCAGCCTTCGACTGTGGGGCCCCATGACAGTCCCAGCCCTGGGGCCGGACCCGTCTCTCGACGGCCCTGTCCACAACTGCCACGCACTTAAATTAAATGGATTCGCATACAATCAGATTCACATTGAAACAAACCGATTCACGTGGAAAGAAAAACCACTCGCACAAAATTCAAGTGAGTCGCACAAAAATTAAAAAAGACTCGCAGAAAATTGAGATGTGTCAAAATGACAATAATTCGAGAGAATGTGCAATATAATATGCGGTTGTCAGTCAATTTCTGCTAGATAAATTTCACTTTTCTACCACTTGGTTTCCAATGTCGCTAGTTGGCCTAGGCAGTACTTTTCATCCCCAGATTCGTAATAAATGACCACAGGAATGCTATTGTCAAACAGGTTTAAGTGAACAATTACAAAAATGAAACAAGATCTCTTGGCCAGAGCAAATACAAAACTTTTGAGACATACTTTGCTTACCCAACATCCGTCCTGGCCATGTGCAAATTTTTGAGCCATTCGATTGGTTCCTTGTGTACAAAATAGCCTTTTCGTACCTGTATGTAGAGGAATTGTAAGTCCGTAGAAAACGGGATTTTACTGATCGCGCTTGCAAGGTACACTAGTAAACCACAGTGTAATCTGGGTCAAGTCACTTGAAGCTTTAAGATGAATAAGCCTGTTTAGATAAACACAGCCGGGGTACATGGATGGGCCATGCGATATTGTAAATGCGACATGCGACCACAACCGCAAAGCAACGATAATCGGCTTAACAGGTCAAGAGATTTTCAGACCTTAACTAAAAGTTTTGATAAAGAAATTATGTAAACCTTCGTTTGCTTGGGGTTTTTTCCAATTTCAAATTTCTGTTTGTTTCAAATTTGGTATCCATGTGTGCCTTGAAAGTATGGTTACTTGAATGTGAAAAAATCGAAAATCATCTTTTCATGCAGTTTTCATCCAGAAAACGTTTACCGTAACCTCAACATCAAAGCACCATAATAAACTCAACGTAGTAGTAAAAAAGGGTAATATTCGAGTAGGGAATAGATAAAGCATAAAAAAGACGCCAATGCCATATGTTGGAAAATTACTTTTGTTTTATTTCGTATATTTATGTAAAGACGATTTTGTTTTTAAAATGTTGGATGGAAAAGCCCTAATGAAGAAAAAGTCGTCAAATTATCAATGTTTGATATTTCCAAAGGATCTTAAATATTTATCAACCACAATGCAAGTTTCCTCTAGGCCTCTCTACACTAGAAAAACAGATTCAAGTACTTTAGTTATTATATGGTAGACCTTCTACTGACTTCTCATAAACAATTTGACGGTTTCCATCAAGATAATCCAAAGGCTTTACCAGATTTACAAGAAAACCTTCAAGATAATCAAAGATTTCACGACATACTTGCTTAATAGCAGCTATGAAGAGGCTGGCATCTACTTGGTATTCCATACTTGCCTCATCGATAAAAATTTATTAGTTGTCGAAAGGATACTAATGTAGCTCCCTGCTTACTGTGTGAAATGCCTTCAAGGAAATATTCCTTAAAGACTGACAACGAGAAGTACGTTAATTTTGGAACGTCGTATATTACCTGGGTTTCGATAGTTCCAAAACTCTACCGGCTATTCATGCAGTTATTGGCTGCGAAACAACACCGGTAACGTTTGTTGTAAGGAAAGCTAACATTTTAAAAAGCAATAGGAGTGTCGTGGAAAGGAAAAATTGCTCGAGGAAGTTACGATGAGACAGGAAATCTGCAAAGACATTCTCGCGAAAGCGATCAAATTTGTGCAAAAATAATCATACAAAGGGAAATGTGACGAAACACTTGTGCAGATAAGAGTAAGAAATCGCAAGGCAATGAAAAACAGGTAATCAGAAGCTCTACAACCAGATCCATACTGGTCGACACAAGCATTTACTATAGGTTACATTACCAAAAGTAAGAGGTAAGAGAAATTGCCTTTAAGGTTTGATTAGACATACGATGGAAAGAATTATCTGGCCTACAGGTGGTTTTAGTGTGGTTTAAAAGAACAAAAATTCTTTATATATTCTAATTTTGAACATACATTTGATAAATAAATAAAAAATGGCACTAAGAAGATATACAGAGAAAAACGTTCCTTAACGGCTTGATGAGAAAAATATTCGATCGTCAACGTTAAAAAAGCTGTGAATATCTGCAGAAAATACTAGAGTCAAGTCAACCAACTAATTCCCAAAAATTTTTTCGCACAAATTATTGTCATCTTTACAGGGCCCGGCACACCCTCCGCTAAAAAAACTGTAAGATCTGCAGCGCTCTAGTGATGAAATCGAAGAAAATTCCGTAACCAATGAGGACCAGGGCGTGGGAAATAACGGTGATCAGCTTGAAGCAGACGATGATGAGTACAATTTCCTTGGGATTTTTAACTAGCTAAAGATTTTTAGGCATACCTTCACGTGTTATTCAATTACCTTTAAAGGAAGATAACGTCATAAAATGATGATGACGTCTTGAAAGAACGTTTAAAAGTAAGTATAATAGTAATTCAATATATCTTTCAAAAGCACTGAATATGTGCAATTGGAATATGGAACATATTTGACAATGATAGTTGCGAGAAAACAATTAAAAAGGTTCAAGGTGAATTTTCTCCCAGTTATTGACGTCATCAAAAAATTTGACTTCCACTCAAGATATTTTTCATTTCATCTCAGATTTGAAATCTGCGTAGTTAATTTAGTGCAAAAATGCAAGAAAAGTTGAGGTCGAGTCCTTGGCTGATTTGTAAAGATTTTTTATCATTTTTTTGATGACGTCATTAAAAACCGTAACTTCCTGTAATAACTTTTTTTGGCCCATCTTGGATTTGGAATTTCCATGGTCGATTTAGTAAGAATGTAAAATAAAATTTGAGGTTAGGCAGTTTGCTAGTTTTTTCTACAAAATTCCATGTCTATAACATCCTTGCCCACTTTTATCCGGATATGTTATTGAAAAATTCAATATTTAGAATTTCCCTTTTACACTTTCCAATCTTTTCGTGAATACGTTGGAAAATCTGCAAACACACGCTAGAGAAGAACAACCTTTTAAAGTACCCTGCAATGGTGAAAAAATGAAGGCCTCGTTATGATGCCGGGGTCACTGAAATAACCATTGCTGTTTTTGTTGCCCAAATGCCACTGATAGCAGTCATTTGATCTGACCGAAAACCACGCCTGATAGCAGTCATTTTTCATTCATTGCTACAGGGGCGGATCCAGACAGTTCCGGATATCACAGTTGCAACTCTATGTTGCTAAGGCTATTGTTCAGGAAAGATAGCTTTTTGATTCATATTCAAATTCTTATGACAAATCGACGAATTCATAACTGCCTTCAACAGAATCTTAAGAGTACCAGTATTCTTCGTACACAGCGACAGGATACCTACCTTTCTCAGTGGTATGGCAAAGAATGTGGCCATGCTGAAAACGATGTCGATGAAAATACAAGTTGCTATTGTCGTGGGAAGTACCCAATGGATGGATGAAGAATGGATGGAGGCCAAAAGTGGTTTCACGAACAATTTTTCTTTCTTTAGAACTGTTAGTCGAGTTATGGTCTACTTATGAGCAAGTAAACAATTCTCTACTTTGTTTAGTCCGAGGCGCAAATCGCTGCTTATAATCATGTACGCTCTCGAGAATAATCACACTTTAATGAAAAATTAATCACATAAATAAAAAAATCAAATTAATCACAAAGTACAACATTAATTACAAAAATTACTATATTAGAATCTTTGACCACGTTTCTCCCTATATTATATGGAGATATGCAATATTTAGAATGCCCCTTTCACGTTTTTCAAACTTTTCATGAACACGTTCGAAAATCTGCAAACACACGCTCGAGAACATGAACAAAACAATAGCAAGTTTTCCAAGTACCCTGCTATGGAGCAAAATTTAAGGCCTCGTTATGATGCCGGGGTCACTGAAACAACCATTGCTGTTTTTGTTGCCAAAATGCCACTGAATTTTGACTGACCAAAAGCCACGCCTGATAGCAGTTATTTTTCCTTTATTTTTTGTTGATTGCTGTAGGGGGATCAAGACAGTTCCGGATTTCGCAGTTCCAACTCTTACATTTATGGGAAATGATTTATTTAAGATTCTTGTATTTTCCCCAAATAAAGTTTTTTAATCAAGTGACATATTTCCGGAACTTCTAATTTTTCTATAGGTGAAAGTCTCAGGATGGCAGTTTTATTTTCCAATAAAGATATTACTTGCGAAGGGAAGAGAACAGAGTACATGGATTGCCTGAATGTCTTTCACGAGGTGTTCAACAACTGTTCACTGTTTTTTTCATTCTAGGCTATTTGCATCAATGTTGCTACAGCTATTGTTCAAGAAAAATAGCTTTTTTGATGCAAATTCAAATTCTTGTGACGAAAGTTGACGGCCCACAGAAAAGAGCACATGCATTTGTCTTAATGTCTTATTCACACTGGCGTCGCTTGACCTTTCAGACTTTGTAGGGTCATCGATAGAAAAAGTTACCGACGAAGACATAGGTGGAGAAGAATTTATTTCATCTACTGATAGGTGATTATACTGAAAAACTGAGGATTTTGTAGACAAACTGAAGTTTTACCGACGAATTTATGAAGTATTGGAGGGGGTCCCCCATATACCCCCCTAGCTACGCCCCTGCTCGTTCAAAGTGATCAACAACTTTTCACAGTTTTTCACTTCAGGCTACTGTCACTAACCTATAATACTGATTTAATATTTTGCTTATGCTGCTGTTCAGAAAAGATATCTCTGTTTTTAGTCAACGTTCTTAAACTTTTACACCTTTTTTCTTTTGCAAATCTGCAACGGTCAAATTCTTTTCTGGATACCCCTTTTCCTGAACTGCTAATTTTCCTTTGTTAATTTCATAGAGTATGATGCAAAATTGATGCTAGACTGGCATGGTAGGTTGTCACTTAATTTATGGAATATTTTAATTTAATTTTATATGATTTGGTTTTCCGTCATGTGTTCAAACGACGTTTCTTGCGCATGAAATTGTTTGAGAGTAGTTTTGATTTATGATTCAATTTCTAATTAATCACAATTTAATCACAAATTAATCACAAAATAATCACTCTTATCACTAAAAATCAAATTAATCACACATAAAATTGATTTAATCACAAGTTAATCACTAGTGATTATTAATCTCGTACACCATTTTCAAGAGTGATTTGCACCTCGTTTTGGTCATTTGATACATAATGTGGCACTGGCGCTTGGAGTTTCTGTTGGACCGAATTCTTGTATTAAACTAGAATTAAATCCCCATTAAATCTTGCTTTGCTGTTTTCCTACTCAGTTTTTCTGAAAAACTAAAGAAAATCTCTCGCTAGCATCACAGTGAAGCACTAATATTACCGTTTAAAGAGTTTTGCTTTAATCGTTGCATTTACTCCATCCAACAGTTGCGTCCAACAGATTAATTCTATAAACTATAGGCTGGATTAAATTTTAACATTCACCATATTATGTTTGGGCTAATGTTAATGATGTTGCATGTACCCTTTTATTCAATATTTTTATGAGTTCGATTTTTGAAGTCGATTAATTTGAATAGGATTTTCGTTAACGTAGTTTTTGCCAAAATTTATAATTTTATTAAACCTATCCAGCAGATCATTATTTTTGAAGTTATTTTGCAAAGCTTCAGGTGTATCAGAAACTTTCTTCGCTTGCCCTTACTCTATAAGACTGGGTTTAGAGAAAGCCCTATTAAAAGAACAAAGCTGGTTTTGCAAATATTTTTTAAGCAAAAATTGTATCGAATTTCATCCACAGAAAATTTCTTATTCGAAACAACGCCAGTGTTGCACCAATTTCACTGTTTTATTTGTCAACTTGAATTACTAAAATCATCTTATTCCAGGTTATCAGGAAACAACTTTCAAAAATAACCAGAATGACTAAAATTATGGTCATATTTTGCATCTCTAAATCCTTCAAAGAACAAATGTGAAATCTGTATTGATCTCCCTTTTTTATTAGGTCCCTCTTTATTAGGTCTTGTATTGAGGCCTCCTTTTAAAACCAAAATTTAAAATAAGCCATCTTCTCTATTAAGCATCTCCTTTTCGATCCAAAAGGAATATGTTTGTCTAGGCAATTTGTCAGATTTACCAATTGACTGAATGATTCTTGTGTAAATGAGAACACATTGTTGTCGAAGTCTCCACTGAAACATGATACATGAGGTAACCATTTTCTAGACTTTAGAAGCTGCAAAAGTGTTATTTTTCATAGTTGTAGAATTAACACAAAAAGAAACTCTTTGTAACCATTATCTTGAATCTTTGATTAAATGAATTAAAATACATTCAGGGGCGTCGCGACCAGGTGGTTTGGGTGTGTCACACCCCCCCGCCCCCCAATAGCATCTCAAG